CCCAATATGTAAAGGTGTTCTATAAAAGGCAACACATGACCCAAACGTGCACAGGAGATTGATATTAAAATACCCATATTAGAGGTAATAAAATGCTCAGAAAAAATACTGTTATCTGCCTAAGACTGACAATATTCATTGCTCGCCTAGAGCTTTTTAAAACACACACACACACACACCACAACGCCACCTCTCTATGACTCTGCTCCAGGAGAGGTCAGACAAGCAATGTTTGCTAAGACTGAGGATGTGTAGGATCAGGCCCTGAGCTAGAGCTATCAGATCTATCCCATGCTGCAGTCTGACTGGGGCTGGGTACAAATCCTGGTTCGACATTTCCCAGTCATTTAAGTGTGACCAAGTTAGTTAAACATTCTGTCTCAAGTACCAGGCACTGGTGTTTTGTGCCTGAAATCTTAGCTACTCAGGAGGCTGAGCTCTGAGGATCATGGTTTGAATTCAGCCTGGGCAGAAAAGTCCCCATGAGACTTTTCATCCGTAGCTCAAAGTGGTAAAGAGCTAGCAAAAGAGCTCAGATGCAGTCCCCAGGCCCTGAGTTCAATCCCTAAAACTAAAAGAAAAAAAAAATCTCAGCTGTTTCATCTGCAAAATGGCAGAACAATAGTTATCTATTTCAGAGACAGCATGAGGATTAAATGAGTTAGAAAAGTTCTCTTAAAAAAATCAAGCCTACTGCCTAACTTAAAGGTACCTACTTCAGAGATTCTGTGAGGAATAAATGAGTTAGAACAGTTAAAAAAACAAACAAACATCAAGCCCACTGCCTAACTTAAAGGTACTACCCTAAGCCAGGAGCTGGTAGCTCATGCCTGTAATCCAAACTACTCAGGAAACTAAGGATTTAGTTCCAAGCCAGCCCAGGCAATAAAGTCTGTGATACTCCTATCTCCAATTATCCAGCAAAAAGCCATAAGTGGAACTGTGCCTCAAGTAGTGCAGTGATAGTTTTGAGCAAAAAGCTAAGGCAGAGTGCCCTGGTCCTGAGTTAAGTCCCAGGACTGTCCTCCCCTAAAGTACTATCCCAACAGTTCAATCTACATTACTCTTTCATGTAATATATAAAGAGTGTGAGGGGGGGGAGGGGAAGGAAGGAGAGAAAAGGAGTTGGGAAGGTGGAGTGGGAAGGGATGGTAGGGGAAAAACAAAGGAGGGGGTAGCAGTGCTCAATAGGAAATGTACTCATTACCTTAGTCATGTAACTGTAACCCCTCTGTACAGCATCTTTACAATAAAATAAATAAATAAATAGAACCCTTATTATAATGGCATTATTGTTCTAAGTGCTCAACAAATTTTCACTATTTTTTTTTTCATCATGGGGCCTGGACTCTAGATGCTGTCCCTCAGCTCTTCAGCTCAAGGCTAGCACGCCATTTGGTGCTGTGGCTCAAACTTCCAGCTTTTTCTGCTTATGTGGTGCTGAGGAATTGAACCCAGGCCTCATGCATGCAAGGCAAGCACTCTACCACTGAGCCACCTTCCCAGCCCCATTATTAATTTTTTATTTTATTTTATTTTTTGGCCAGGATCTTGCTATATTGATCAGACTAGCCTAGTACTTGCTATCTTCCTACCTCAGCCTTTTGAATGGCTGGGATCATAGATATGTGCTACCACATGCAGCAATAATTATATTAAGATGAAAGAAAACTGTACACTCTGGGAAAACTGAAAACTTTATTATACTTCATACTATGCCAAAAAAAATCTAAAACTTTATACTGTTCTCAGGTTAAAAATAACAATAATACAAAACCTTTGTGGTTGTTAAAATCAGACTTTCTTCATCTAGGTATCTATTCTATCACAATAGCATAGCCTATCCTTAGGATTATTAGGACCATGGCTGAAAAGGCATGAACAGCCCTCCACATGTGGGGAAACAATGACCCCCGATGGTTGAAGACATGCATTTGCACCACCTATCTCACACAGCAGTTTCCTGGACCTTACAGTGCACTGCTCAAACACCCACACTCTGGGTGTTGCATGTATTTACCAGGTTTAGGGGGACAGGGATAGGAGACGCTTTAGGGGTTGACAGTCTTGTGAGTTTCACTGTTGCAATGGGTCATGCTGTGTCCTTGTTTCTGTGGCTTGTTATTCCCCTCCCCGCCCCCTTAGATAAATGTATATACAAGATGTAGGGTACCAAAATCAAGTACAGTGACAACAGGGGATATACCATAGAGGGAAGAATATATAAAGGAAACAAAAAACCATGTAGAATATTAAAAACAACAACAACAAAGACCTCTTGTGTCCATAGATTGCAGTTCATTTCACTTAGCATCATCTTGTATGTTCATATGTATATAGCTTTTGGGCTTTTCTGCTCATTTGATAAAATTATCCTAGACGTATTCTAATTATTGCATATGAGGGAAAACATGGGACCTATAATTTTTTGAGTGCCATTTACTTTCTTATGTAATACTTACATAATAAATATAACATATAATATATAATATGTATAATATATAACTTACATATATAATATGTAAGTATTTTCTAGACACTGGCATGGGAAGAATATTAAATTAACTGTTTAACCAAATAGCATTTTTTTACATGTACTTTCACATATGTATTAGGTCATTTGCAAAATATGGTAGACAGGCTCCTGAGGCTTTCAAGGTTAAAACTATTTTCCATGCCAGGTGTTGAGGCTCATACCTATAGCTAGTTGGGAGGTTAAAATCACAAAGCTAACCCAGGAGAAAAGTGCGTAAGACCCCATCTCAACCATAAAACTGGTTGGTAGCATGTACTATATCCCAGCCATATAAGAAGTCTAAATAGGATAGGCTGAACCTACTTCCAAGTATTTCCTATTTGGGAAATAACTAAAGTAAAAAGAGCTGAAGGCATGGCTCAAGTAGTAAAGCACCTTCCTAACAAGTACAAGACTTTGAATTCAAACTCCAACACTGGAATGAATGAATGAATAAATGAATGAGTGAGTGAATAAATAAATCTTTTCCATTTTCATAGTGATGACATTTATACTAGTGGCCCAAAAGCAATGAGTAAACTTGTACTTCGTTACAAATCCACCCAGTGGTACCAAAGATGGTGTATTCATTCTTATGCACTCACAGTTCAAAAACAGGTATTTCTACTAAGTCTTTGATGAAACAGTAAACAATATTAATTTCTTTAAATTTCAACCAGAGTATGTGTGCTTTTACTATTCCATGTGACAAAATACCAAGTATCCACAGTGCAGACCAAAATATGATACAAATCTAGAGGAAAAGAATCTGTGTGACTGAGTTACAAGCTCAACTAGCCATTTTTTTGCAAAGAACAGGATTTTCACTTGAAAGAGTATCAACCAACTGTGATTATTTAGACTTGAATATTTAGCAGATAGTATATAAAAGAAAAACAAAGTGAATATGACATTTTAAGGAAATTTAAGTAACAGTACTTGTATACTTATTGCCAAAGAGACAATTTAGTTTTTCAAGCAAAAATAACATTTTAGAAAACTTGCATCTGCCACCATGAAACCAATGGCTTTCCAATACTTAATATGGGTTCTTTTGTTTGTTAGTATTATATATTTGTGTTACCACCTGGAAGATTTGCGCAACACAATGAACAAGTACTTTCCAAATCACATGTTACAAAGAAAATTAGTTAATGGACAGACTATGGATTTTATAAGTTTGTTATGTTTTCAGATTTTGCATGCAACTAATCCTTAAGAAAACAAACTTGTCAAGTTTTAATGATTTATCTAAAATACTTCTCCTTTTTCCTATTATATATCTGCATGCGGGTAAATTTTATTCATGTTTGAATCAAAGTAACATCAAAACAGACTTAATGAAAAAGCAACTGACTATACAGGTATCTTCTACCAAACCAGACCTTAAAGAAATTTTAGCCAGGCAAGTGAGTGATATCTATAATCCCAGCTTCTTGGGAGGTAGAGATCAAAAGAAATGTAGCTCAGAGACAGACCAGGTAAAAACAGTTGGCAAAACACCACCTTTTCTTCTTCCTCTCTCTCTCAGTACTATGGCTTAAATCAGGGCCCCAACTTTGCTAAGATGTTTAAAACTAAACACTCAAACAACAAGATATCATCTCAGCAAATAATCCAGGTATAGCCTGTGATCAAAGCTAAACAGCAAGCAGTTCAAGGCCTGGGGGAGGTGGGGTGGGGGTGGCAGACAGAAAAATCCAAGACTATCTGAAAAATAAAGCAAAAACTGGGCTGGGCTGGGCCTGGGCTGGGCTGTAACTGTGGCTCTAGTGGTAGAGTACCTGTCTAAAAAGCTTGAGGTGAAGTTCCCAACATAATACCAACAAAACCAGAAGTTTGAGAAGATAGAAAACATGCCACTTTTTTGCTAACTTTATTTTCAAATAAATTTATTTGTGGTATGTAGCAGGTTTACTACTACTACTTTACTTTTTTTTTGGAGCTCAAGCTGGCCCTGAACTTGAAATCTCCCAAGTTTGAGAATTATAAGTGTATATACCACCATAGCTAGCCTTTACTAAATTAATAAATATTAAGTGTTTAAAAGGGTCCTTAGACTAAAATGTGTGAGGTCTAAAATAATGTCCTGACTAATTAGGCAAGCAAAATTGATTAAATCTACATTTTACTGATAAATGAATGGGTTTAGCAAATTTAAGTCACTTGCTCAAGATTCTCAGAGTCTTGTTCACAATCCCAACTAAAAATGAAACACTAGGAGCTTTTAAAAGTACTCATGTAAGTGTTCCAGTATGAGAACAGGCATTGCTTAAGATCCCAGGTGATTCTCCTGTGGCTTAGGTAAAGCAACTACTCACTGTCCTAGAGATTAACAATCAAGTATATGATTAGTTCTAAATCTTCCAAACACCAATCTGATGAGTAAATCTACAAAATGCATTTTTGTCTACATTTAGACCATATCACTGTAGGTCACATCAAGTTTTAGAAACAAAGTTTTACTGGATTTCATTTTACTTACAGGATTCTTACTTTGCCATTCCACAGGACAGTTGTAATCTTGCATGATCCAGGGATGGTTTAACAGATTTCTCATAGAAATCCGTTTCTTTGGGTCCACCTAGTGGTCATTAAGAAGAAGCTAGAGATTAACATTTCAAATACACAACAGAACATCTTCCCCACTGAGAACCCAAAATGCACCAAAACAGATGTAAACTTTATCATCACAAAAACGCTGTCAAAGACCTTAAAATAGCCTTGGAATAAATTCTTTCAAAAAGGTAATAGGGGCAAGAAAACTATAGCAACCAACACAGGCTTGGAAGATAAATGTTTAACAAACATGAACTTCATTGGTATGGACATTATTCATGAAGTTCAGTCAATCTATTGTATGATGTAATAGTCTTTTTGCTGGAAAACCTATTCACAGGAAATATTCACCAATTTAATATTCAAGCAGCCACCATGCAGGGCATTCATCCTGAATATGCAATCTCTACCTCCAATGAGCTTACAATCACATAGAACAAGTTGAAAAGCATACCTTTCTTTTCCATTTGTACTTTTCAAATGTGAGGAGAGAAAAATTAATCAACAAAGATTAAGTTTTTTGGAGTCAAGAAGAAAGAGTGAGGCATTTTCAATCTCATTATGGAGATTTGGTGGTCTGGCCCTACTTAATCAAGGTGGGTGAGCCTGAGGTAAAGTTTGAATAAAAAGAAGAGAAAGCTTAATAGATGGAAAAACTGCAAGATATTCTGAATACATAATGAACAAAAAACTGCTCTAAAAAGGTACTTATATTTTCAAAGTGTTTCTTATCAATCTCATTTCATACTTACAACATTACCATTTTATAGGTAGTAGGTACGCTGATTGTTAAGGTAGATACCTAGACTCCAGAATTCCTTCCTTTCACCCTCATTCCACTGACTGAGTCATTCTCAAAATATGGCCCTAAGATTAAGAGCATCAGCAACATCTTGGAGCTTGTGTGAAATACAAATACTCAGTCATGCCCCAGAGTTCTATTGAAAGACAATCTGGAGAGAGGGAGTCTAGCAAGCTGTGTTTTAACAACCATCTAACCATCTGGCAATTTGGGGCACATGCTAGTTTGAGAAAGGCCCAATCAATTAGACATCAACTCACTCAGTATCTATTTTACACCTAATGTGCAAGAATGGGAACAAGAAAGGATAGAGAGTAGAATAAAGCCAGTTAGAGAAAATAGACAATGCTCAAGACAAAGTAAAAAAAATTCATATTCACAAAGACATTGTCCTGATCTAAAAGAAAAACAGGTTTACATCATAATTTGAGAGGATTTAGTAGAGAATATTTTCAAGATACATACATAAAATGGAATCCTTTTCAAGCTAACAGATAATAGTCAAATAAAAGGTCCATAAATACCTTAAAGGTTGGATCAAATAAGCCAAGCACGGTGGCCTAAGCCTGTAATCCTATGGACTTTATAGGCAGAGATTGGGAGATAAGGTTCAAGGCCAGCCCAGGTATAAAAATTCATGAGACTCCATCTCAATCAATGGCTGAGCACAGTGGGCCACATCTATCTTCCCAGTTATAAGGGAAGCACTTTGGCTGGGAGGAGGTATCTCTAACCCTAGTGTCACAGGGAAACACAAGTAAGATCGCAGCCCAAGCCAGCTTGGACATAAAATAACCAAAGTAAACAGAGGTACACTTTGCCTTGCAAACTTAAGGTCAATCCCCAATACCGCCAAAAAAAAGTTGGACCAAACTAATAACAGCAGATTTCTATGACTTAAATAACAAAGTTTACCTGCAACATCTGTTGAAGCAGCAGAATGCTACTAGGAGAGAGCCACTTGGGAACATCATATTTCCCTCTCTACCAAAAAAGCAAAGAAAATATTTAAGAGATTTAGGTTTAACCAGCTTTGAGACCAATTTCTAAGGTATAATGTGCTAGAAATTTAATTCTAAGTTTGACGACTTCACCTAACAATAAGATTCAGTAAAAGTTTGTTATAATAATAAATCCACTACCTAAAAGAAAAAAAAATCCAGTAAACTAAATCCTACTATTACCTAAGTTGTCCTTATATCAGAGAAGGACTAAAGCACAGAGAAACTAATAGTGTAAAACATAAATGTTACAGGGCTTAGGAATCCATAGTATGATTACATGGACAGCATATGTATGTATATATATCACTGTATTCAATTTGTATTACCAACACACACTGGAGTTTATAACTCATAGCAATTGCCAGTTGGCACATGAAGCAATATAAAAGTATATTTAGTATCAGGACAAGACTGTGGTTAAGGTTGTGGTTAAAATCATAAGATTCATAATGGAGAATTCACAATCATTGTGATATACTGATAAAAGCACCTTTCTAAGTGAAATACAGTTTTGGAGTACAGAGGAGACTTAGGAGACAATGTCTACAACCTACTGTACTAAAATTATGGTCACTACACCATTAACCAAAGATAAAACCAGGCCATTGTTAAGTCCTAATGCATGCTAAAATACTCTTTTACAGAGCCTGCCACACACTCCTCCTTTTCTTCCGAATTCAGAGGAAATGATACAATAATTTCTCATAGCAGGTATCAAATTTAACAATGCAAGGATAACAAGGTAATTATTTCAGAAAAATTAAGGCTGAACTGTACTTCACAGTATACACCAAAATTAACTTCATCCAAATTAAATGCAAATATGAAACCATAAAAATACTTAAAGCAGGGCTGGGAAGGCGGCTCAGCGGTAGAGCGCTTGCCTTGCATGCATGAGGCCCTGGGTTCGATTCCTCAGCACCACATAAGCAGAAAAAAATTAGCTTTGAGGTGAAGAGCTGAGGGACAGCACCCAGGCCCATAGTTCAGGCCCACGACTGAACCCCCCCCCAAAAAAAATACTTAAAGCAAGGATGATTATTTTTGGACTTTTTCTATACATGACCACAAACAAAAACTATAAAAACATGACTAAATTAAAACTTGACATTTCTGTATTGCAAAACACCACCAGATTAACAATAAATTGAAGAAAACCACCTTCTGCCTAAATGACAAATAATAATAATAATAACAACAACAACATGCTTGGATCACATTAAAAAAAGGTTTTGCCAGGCACTGGTGGCTCATGCCTATAAATCCTAGCTACTTAGGAGGCTGAGATCTGAGGATCGTAGTTCAAAGCCAGCCTTGGCAGGAAAGTCCAGGAGACTCTCCAATTAAACACCAGAAAACCGCAAGTGGTGCTGTGTGACTCAAGTGGTAGAGCACTTGCCTTGAGCTAAAGAGCTCAGGGACAACGCCCAGGCCCAGAGTTCAAGCCCCATGACCGACAAAAAAAAAAGTCTTACATCATTAAAATGGCACTACTGCCACCAAACTTTGTTTCACATTTCTCCCCATCTCAATAAATAGCAACAGTACTCAACCAATTAATCAGGCAAAAAATATGAATCAACTAACTTTCTCTCACATACCATATTCATCAATGTTTAGTTGCTCTATGTTCAAACTATATCCAGAATCACTCATCATTACCTGTCCAATAAGCTCATACAAACCACTAGCATCTCTCAAGCAGCTTGCTGCAAAAAGTTTTTAACTTGTCTCCCAGATTCTAGACCTATCCCCCAAAGTGCAGTTTCACAACTACCCATGTTCTTTTAAAACATGAGTCATCATGTTACTTCACTATGCAAAACTCTCCAATGGCTCCTCACCTCAGAATGAAACTCAAATTTCTTACCTTGGCTCCAAGGCCCTTTGTGGTCTGTGCCTCTACATCTACTCAAGTCCTCGCTACTCTCAAATTCACCTCACTCTCCCCTACCTCAACAAACTACAGTCAGGTATGAAAAATAATCTTGCCTCGGGGTCTTGTTCATTCAGCCTGTCAGCTCTTGGCATATATAGGCAGAGTTTGTGCTTCCTCAGACCTCCACTTAATATACCACTGGAATCTCCCTTAGCCACGTTTATAATCACACCCCCACAACCATTCCTAATGTGCCTTATAGTCCTTATTACCTTATCTTTTTCACGGTCCTTATTACTTCTGTCATATTTTGTTTTCTGCCTCACTACACTCAAATATAAGCTACTTAATCAGAGATTTTTTGCTATTTTATTCACCTAGAACACTGACCCTCATATGTAAAATGTGCTCAATTAATGTTTTTTAGTAAGTGAATGAATGAGATTAAGAGCATATATTCCTAAAGAAAATGAGCAAAGACCATGCCAACCAATTCCCAAGTAAGAGCTTATAAGTGGGAAAATGAATGACAGGAATATAAATCAGGTCCTGTCCAGGGTTTGGAAAACTAATGGGAGGGCAAACAGAAGGAAAAGACGGTGAATATGATCAAAATACTTTATAGACCTGAGTGAAAATGGAAAAATGAACCTTATTGAAATTGATTTGGGAAGGGGGAGAGGAGATGAGGAGGACAGAGGCAAAGAATTTGATCAAGGTACAATGTACATATTTGGAAATATCTAAATGAAATCTCTTTGTACAATAATTGATGATAATAAAAAGTGTGAAGAAGCCTAGTGGCAGTGGCTCACACATGTAATTCTAGTTATTCTAGGCTATGATCTGAGAATCACAGTTCACAGTGAAATTGTTACTGCCAACTAACAAGTAAAAAGCTCAAAGTAGAGGTATGGCTCAAGTGGTAGAGCACCAGCTGTAAGTGAAGAGTCCAAGTGAAAGCACAAGGCCATGAGTTCAAGCTCTAGTTCCACAAAGAAAACAAAAGTGAAGAAAAAAATTTTTAACAATTAATAAAAATGAAAATATGACTTAAAGTAAATTTAAACTAAAAACATGGCATCACTTGTCTATCAAGATGACAGACCCTTTCCTTTTTGTTTTTGTGGTTGGATTTTTTTGTTTTGTTTTTTGCTTTGTTTTGTTTTCTCTTTTTTTTTTT